GGATGTGCCGAACACGCCCGGCCCGGTCGAGGATGCCCACGCCTCCACGGCCAAGAAAGAGCCAAAGCGAAGGGCCCCTGTGCGAGCGAGAATTGTTTGGTGGTCGGGAAAGCCACCTGTTTGAAATGTCCCAAACAACAGTAGCTGATAGCAGTAGGCAAACCACATGCGCGTGGTAATAGAGGTAAACGAAAACTTAATGGGTGTGGCCAAAAAACTTCCCCTGTCCAACATGTTTGAGGTGTTTCATTTTGGGGTGGATTGAGGAAAAGCTATATGATGCTGCGCGTCTTCGCATTTACCGCATGGTTGCCAAAAAGAAGAAGAAGCAGCAATATGCTGTCCCAGAAGCAGTAGCTGAAGAATGGAAGAAAAACAAGGATGGTTTGATCCGTTTGCTGATGAACCTCAATTTCGATAAGGCTGGAAGCGTTGCGGGAAAGGGGCACACCCATATTAACAACATATACGATATATATATATATATGTGTATATATATATATATACTTTTCGTATATATTTGATGCCCTCGCAGGCGGACTTTGTGTCCAACGTGGTTCGTATCCATGAGTTGAAGCAGACCGTTGAGATTTCCCTGGAGCAGGGGTGGTATGGAGAGAAAGAATTACGGGAAGACCTTGGATGGTCTTCGAGCCACGTCTCCGTTTAGCTCTGTCGCGCGTGCGTGCCAAAGCCCCGCAAATTTGCGAGCAACCCCTCCCCCCCCCTCTTTGTCATGCTGGTGGACTTTCAGGGCCAAGATCGAGGGGGCCAAGAAAGTATGCTCCGAGAAGCCGGACACGTTGATCCGGTTCTTGGGCTCGCAATTCTAGCGGGCACGCGGGCACTTTCCAGCTGAAGTTTTGAGCAACTAATCAAATCGCCGGCCAAACTCCTAAAACAGGGCCCATGCGTTTCGGACCTGTTTATCTGTTTGCACGCAGTTTCTTCAATATTGTGAACTTGGATGTTCGAGGGTGTCCAAGGTTGAACCGATACGATTCTACGCAGGAGTATTGGGTCACGATCCGGGAGCTCGGCACTCGCAAAGAAACACAGACATGGAGTGAAACTCGGAGGGAGGAGTCGAAGGCGATCACCAAACAAGGGCCTGCGTTTTTAGGGTCACGTATACGTTGTCCAATGTAGTCAGGCTGGAAGGCATTCGACACCCACAAAAAAGTGGGCCTAGGAGTATAGGGACACATGCGGTTTCAAGAGTCCTTCATCGGAGTTCTAAACTTGTTACTCCCGCCGGCCCACTGATCCCCCTGCCTGGCAGGGGAAAGATCGGTTCGTCATCGATGAGCATGCCTTCGACCGAGTCAAAGCTGCTGAGAACCGCTCAGCTTTGGCAGACAAAGAGCCTACTTCTGGTCCCGGGGTTCCAGAAAAAAACAAGGCAGGGTTTGGCTGGCAATTCAGTATTTTCACCATGGGCTAGTAGTGTGGAGGCTGAGTTGTCGATTGTACCTGGGGGCAGGTCTTCTCACCAAGTCTGACACCCCCCACACCCGACCGCAGGCAAAGACAGATCTGGCTCGGTTTATGGAGTCCATCTTAGCAAAAACTACGAAGATCCGCCAGCTAACCCGAGACCTTCGAGCGAACTACTCCGGGGACCCATCCGCGCTTGAGCCAGGGCCTCACCAAGCTGGCATAACCCTTTTAAAAGACCTTAAACCGAATCGCACGCTAACGTGCCTCAGCTCGCACTTCGGGTTTCGCGGTTACGATCAGCACAGGTCTCTTTCTGAGCTGGAAAAGGGCATCAAAAAGCTGGACTCTGAATACGATGCATGTTCTGAAGTCCTCACAGATGGAGAGGTGGACGGATTTGGAGACAAGTTGTGAGCTTATTTGCGAAGGCAAACATGTTCCAAGTCTGCCTTTGGTGATGGCGATGTTGGTCGCTGCCTAGGTTTCACATGGAGTCCGAGAAGCGCATCCGCACTGCGACGGGAGTGCCTGGTGCCCAGTGCGCCTGAACCCATGCAGTGATTGCGTGCATCCTTGCCTGCCGAAGGGCCGGGAGAATCACTTCACTGGAGCACAAAGTCAGGCCTTTGACCGCTTTTTTGCTGGCCACACATGGATCTCGGGTTTTCGAGCTCTGAAGGCACGCGAAAAAGCACTTCCAGAAATCTGAGACCAGCGGCCCAAAAAAGAGGAAGGCGGCCAATGTTGAAAAGCCTGCTGAGGAACAGCCAGCCCCAAAGGGGGGAAGGAAATCCAAGGCCAAAAAATAGGCAGTGTGAATTTTAATTTTGAGCCTGCTTCAGGCTGCTTGCGCTTATGGATGGAACCCTATGTGCAGTCAGCCGAGCTGGATGCAACACATGTCTAGGGGCTTTTTTGCTTGGCCCAGTTAGATCTCTGTGGTGGGGTGATGCTTGAGACTCTGTCGAAACCAGAGCCTCGGGGGAAGCATATACGATCCTCACAGTGTGCGGTGGCCAAAAAAAGGGGCTACATGATAGGCGTGCGTGGCACTGAACACATGCGGTTCTGATTTGCCCAACCCCGCCCCTCTTGCGTGCCAGAGCCTGGGCGAGCGCTTTGTGGAGTCGCGAAGGCGACGGGCGACGGGGCACCTCGGAGCGCACAAGATCAATCGATCGTTCCGATCCTTCTCGGCTTTTCCAAACACCCCAACCTCCCCCCCCCCCCCCGCGCTAACCGGATTTTCCCTCCCAAAAAAAGGGTTTCCAGGACCGCAAGTTTGTAAGGTCGAGCTTGCGCCACTGATTGGATAACAGTGTGCCACTGGGATTTCAGGGTTCCCTAACTTCGTATGCATATTTGAAAGGTTCTTGACTGTTCCATTGCCTCGCTCAGGCAACATGCGTGAGCGCAATCCGCACGGCGCGGGACATAGTGGCGGACGTGGCAGACGCTGGCATCGCGCTACCCGACACAGGGATCCAAGACTTGGCACGCTGCCCCGAGAAACACTCAGAGCAGGGCGTGCAAAGAGTTTGTCGGGAGTTTGGTTTAGAGCTCAATGTGCCGCAAGTCATGGTGCCTGGTACAGAAATTCCAGCTTTGAAGCTGACTGATTGGGTGAAGCTTTTGTTGCAACATGACTTGTGGCACACGACCGTGGGCTTGCGCAAGGCTGATGAGCAGCGGACTCGGCGTATATGGCGGCGCTTTTGGAACATTTACCGGTCATATCATAGTGCTCATCCGATTTTCCAGTTGGAGGCCGAGAAGAAAATTGATTTGAGCCGCTGCGCTGCCTTCATCTTCCATGGAGATGAGGGTAGATCTTTAAAGAAGAAACCACTTTTCGTGGCGAATTTCTTTTCGGCCCTGGGGCGTGGCACATCCGAGTCAGTTACAGCCCAGAAGAGGAAATACATCAAGATGAAGATCAACTATCGCGGGCCTAGCTTTGCAACAAGATACCTCGCTGGAGTTCTCCCAAAGCAAAAGTATGGAAAATCCGAGGAAAATCTCCGGGCGCTGCTGCAATTCTGCGCAGACGAGTGCGTGGAGCTCACTCGCCACGGCGTGGTTGGGCCACGAGGCGTGAAGCATCACGTGGCCCTTTTGCGGGTGTGTGGAGATTGGCCTTTTCTCATCAAAGCTGGCAATTTGCGCCGCGGTTTCAACCGGGGCGCGAAATCTGAAGAGGCGACGTCGTCCGCGGGGATTTGTCATCTTTGTCAGGCTGGGCAATTCCCATATCCGTACGAACAGCTTGCCACACAGACGCCTCGTTGGCTGGGCACAATGAACCAGGAGAGCCCGTTTTCTTCGCCTCCAGAACTTCTCGATGTCCCCCACGATGAGGCTCGCGCGGCGGAGTTCTTTGAGCCAGACGCTTGGCACGCCTGGCATTTAGGCGTCGCCAAGAGCTTTTTGGGCTCTGTTTTAGTGCTTGTGATGGAAACCTTTCCCGGATCTTCGGAGCCAGCTCGATATCAAGCACTCACAGACCATTTTTTGGCCTGGTGCAAAGTTCACAACCGCCGGCCGTACATTTCCAAGATTGATGCTACGACCACATCAAGAACCAACAAGCGCACATACCCAAAGGGCCACTGGAACAAGGGGGAAACCTCGACAACTTTGATGCGTTGGTTTGAGTCATGGTGCCAGGAGTTTCAACCCACTGCGCCCTTGCTAGCCGCTTCTTGGAAAGCTGCTAGGTGCATCAACCGTGCGTGGTCAGCCCTTTACAAGCAGGACTTTTGGATTCCGGCAAAAACCGCGAAAGCAATTGGGATGGACATTCTTGAGTTCCTCAGGTTATACGCCTACCTGGCGAAATCTGCGTTTGACCAGGATGAATGCTTATTCAGTTTGCTTCCGAAAGCCCATATGATTCACCACGTCGGCTTGACAGCCTTGGTTCTTCCTGCCCAGAAACATGATCTGATAATTAATCCCCTAGCTTGGGGGTGCCAGATGTCGGAAGATTTTATTGGACGACCGTCGCGCATAAGTAGGCGGGTGAGCTGTCGACAAACCATTGAAAGAACTCTGAGCAGGTATTTAAGGTCTGTCCACGCCATATGGGTGCAGGAAGGGTTCATTGTCTAATGCGAGTGGCCTACGCCAATTCGAAGCCCTCATGCAATCCCCCTACTCTACATGTTTCTCTTTTCAAGGCATCTGCTGGAAAACAGGACCCCTTGAAAAACTTGTTGGTGTAGATGGGGGTTACGCTGGGGCCCCCTGCAAATTTGATCATCTCAGCGAAGATGGCGAGCTTGAAAAGGACCAGCGAGGCGCGGCCAGAGGTTGGGTTGGGCTGCCCGGTTGTTAAAACCCGGTTCTGTCCTGAACAACCTTTTTTTTCAGGGAACCTTTAAAATTAAAGGTTGTCGGGGTAGAGGGTATATTCTATATATTATATTATATATAATGTAGTATATGTATGTGTGTATCTATATTATATATGTATATATCTGTCTTTTTGAGGGTACCCTTTTTGGGGTTGGTTCAAAGGGACACATGGGACACCACGTTTCTCACGTCCTTGCGCTGAGGTTGGTTCGAGATTCGGCCCCGGGACCTGTCGATGGATGTGTGGGCGAGCGAGTCGAGAGAAGAAGCCGAGTGAAAAAAGTCAAACTCCAATCCGGAGCCCGGGGTTGGCGGAATCGAATTCAGGGTTCCCTGTCTGGGTGCATGTGTGTGTGTGTGTGTTTTTTGTTGGGAGGGGGGGGGGGGGATTTTGTTGGAAGTCAAAAGGAGATCGGCCATGTTGGGGTCTCGTTTAGAAAGAACGCCATATTTTGTATGGGTTTGGGGTCAAGGGAGCGAAGAAATACGAATGGGATTCCCAGCCCACCTGTGGCCAGGTCGGGAACAGCCGCATCGGAGTCATTGCGGCTCAAGTACAAGGGTTTACACTATGAAGGGCAAGATTTGTATACCTCTCCACACAAACATTCAGTGCAAGATCCTTCTACATTTGGGCATCATCCATGAATTAGAGACTCCTTATACACAAACCAACTCGGCGTCTTTGAAAGAAGTGTGCGTCACGAAAGCGACAGCCGACCGCTACGCAATGGGCAACCACCAGGTGGGTGCCTCAGCATTCGCTTCCGCGCCGGACTCAGACGTCTTAAATCGAACGGCAAACCCAGGGGCTGGAATCGAGGAAAAAAAGAAGCTGGTGTTTGACCCCACGGTTTTTTGTTTTTCCTTTCTCATGGGGGTCCTTGTGTTCAAGCGGCCTTTGGAACACCAGAGATGGGCGCGCGGTTTCGAAAGGAAACCACAAGGAAGCTCACCGTTTTTGGGAGTGGCCTTGTCAATCATAATCGGTGGTGTGGATTGGCGGCTTTGGGATTTGAATCGCTGGCTCTTGAGGTTAAATGGGAAACCAGCTAACCACCAATCCAAACCAATCCAATGATTTGTCCCATTTGGGTCTTACAATAGGAGACCTCAGAAATGGTGATTTCCCAGTGGTTTTCCTTCAAAGTAACGCCTACACGGGTACCCCAGGCAGTTCTCAAGTCATCCATAGTTTACTCTGAACTCCCTTCCTGCAATCCAAGACGGGTACCCTGAAAACCAGACACACCCCTGTTTCAAGATCCCACCCTGAGACCACGGGCCATGCCTTCAACCTCTGCGGGTGCACGGATGTCTTCGGCTTCGAAGGCAGTGCCAAGGCGCGTTGCGCGCCTGATGCTTCAGACGCCGAGCGCATCGGGGCGCTTGAAGCCGCGTTTTTCAGGGTACCCTGTCCACGTCACGTCGCCATGGAACCAACCGGAGGAATGGTCCGCTTGAAAGGAAAATGGGTTTTCCAGGAGCCTCCTGTGAGGTTCCATGTTTGTGGATGGTACCCTTCTCAGGTTGGTCCACAGCCGAAAATAGGCCCCCAGTTTTTTCTGGGCGCCCTGAAAGGCCAGACCCAAAGTATGCAAAGCCGGGGACACCGCCATGCTTGTTGTTGGGACACATGTTTCCCATTTTTGCTTGTTGTGGTTTAGTGGTTGAAATCTAACCACTTAACAGCTAAACAATTGAAGATTTTTGATCCCCAAACCCAACGTCAACCAAGCCACAGCGGCACCGGCTTTCCCTTTAGTTTGCCCCAGAGCCAGCCAACCCACTTTTCAGTGTTCCCCAAAAGTCGCCATTCGTTTTGTCACGGGTGTTGATTGCCCGAACCAACCGGTCAAAATCAAAAGGGCGACAAACGAAAACATGTGAGCCACAATCAAAACCCAAGGTTAAGGGGACAATCCCGGCCACAAATAGGCGCAGCCGCCTTTTCAATTCCTTGCATGGTGTTGGGTGCACCATTTTAATACCAGGTTTTGATTATGACTCATGTGTGCCTCGCTCCAACGAAGACCAAGTCTGCACAGGTTCGGCCTTTCTGCTTTGGCCTTGGAGGAAATGTATTCGCCTCACATTTTTTTTCCAGAGGCTCACACGGAGTCAGATTCAGAAACAAGGATTCTAAAAGTGCATTCATTGACATCTCTCTCAAGCGATATCCATTCGCAACTTTCGGATGTTCCGGATCTTCAATCACAGGGAAGGCACTCTGTTGTGCCGTCAATGTCATGAAGCAGGGCACGACGCATGCGATTAGGAGCAGATGCCCAGTTCAGCCTTGGAGTTTTGTAGCCGCGTTGCTGCAAGGCTGTCATCAACCTGTATGACATCAAGCCACCTATCTATTTAAAAGTCGAGAAACCGCGCCTTCAGATTTTGAAACTTAGTGGTACACATCTTCCTGAAAAATGCCTCGTGGTGGGCTGGCAATTCAGCAAAACTTGAGGCCGTTGTTTTTGCGGGGTGCATTTTTTTTTGGGGGGGGTCCTTTTCCCCAAAGAAATGGCACAGCCACTTGAACTTGCGGCGGGCCGCCGGCGTGGCCCCGAGAATTATTTTTTTCGAGGCCCTGGAATGCTCGAAGCCTCATCCGCGAACGGCTGAACAAGCAAGGGGAGCTGGCGCGGAGGTCTCCGCTGCGCAAGGTTCCGGTGCGAGAGGCTTGATTTGCATTTAAGGTTTCTCAGTTCTTCAGTGGCACCCTTTTTCTGCCCCACTAAAAGTGGTCTTCCCAAAAAAGGGTTCCCTTTTTTTCCAGGGTCACTGAACAACTGAGGTTTGCATTTGATGTGCGGCTTTCGTCCAAATGGGTGAAACGGAAAGGAACACGTTGCCGTTTTGGGGTTCCAATTCAATTCCCTTTCGGAGACATAGCGGTTGCATTTCAAGGAAGGCCTCGACTTCTTCCGCGACAGGGTGAATGCCCAGTGGTTCAACCATGGCTTCGAGCTGCAGAAGGATAAGTTTGTGGAGACTTGGCCAGATGGGTATAAGTCAAAATTCCAACCACCAGGATATGGACCGCAGGTTTTAGTCCTTATTTTTACTTACCAGGGTTCCATTTTGGGTACCTTTTTTTGACCCACAGCCAGATGTCTTTTTGTTTCCCTCGCGAAATAACCACAAGAAGTCTGCGAGGAGATTCAATGTTCGTGGCCTTGCATGCTTCGGCTCAGGAAATCCTCGTGATGCTGCTAGGCCGTGGACTTTGTGAATCGCCCTTTTACCTTGTTTCAAGTTGCCCCCAATTGGTTTGGGGAGGGGGAGACCACCCAAGCTCCACCGATTCGGCCAATCAGAAACCTACTCGGGTCTCTGATTGCTTGCCAGGCCACAAAGACGTGCCTCACAACCCAAGGGAGAGGGAAGACTTGTACCAGATCTTCGACTCCATGGACTTTGATGGGCACCTTCGGCGGTCAAGGGGTGGGGCTTGGGCTGTGCTATGTGGCAGGTGGGTGTGGTTGGTTTCTTTTGAAGGGGTGCCCCGATTTGAGCGGTTTTAAAGGGCAAGAGAGGGAAAGCCAAGAATGTTTTGAGGGTCCTTGATTTGGAGACAAACCCAAATGTAAAATGTCAGCTTACGTAAACAACAGATCATGTGCCGATCGTTGGTAGTACAATCGGTTCTCTAAGCACTTGGGAAAACACATCATGCTGAGCTCAAGCTTTCTGTCAGAAGGGCTCATGAGACCAATTGACCAAGCTGGTTGATTCTTAGATGGTCTTTCCCCCCCCTTCAAGTATCAGATCCCCTCTAGAATTGGAAAACCCACAACTCAACCAGGGTTTGTTTACAACTCCTGGGCCAATGCCAACATTCAGGCTTCAAATGGGTGTGGCTCAAAATTAAACAGGAGGGGTTACGCAGGTTTTGGTCCATGTTTCCACTTGCCAGGGTTCCATTTACCGGTTTGACCCATACCCAACTTGGTCGTCGAGGAATGGAACGCTGAGCACCGGCGAATGGGCCTCGGGCCTCTCTGTCTACTTCAAGGGCTCCACGGAGGAGGCTTCCGGGGCGGATCTGAGCCGGCGGTGGCGCAAAAAAAGAGAGTAGCCAATGAAAAAATGGGAAACACCAACCAACAAACCTTTAGTCTTTGTTGCCATTTGGGGCCAGTTTGGGTATATATTATATTTTCAAAACAGTTTGGGTAAAAAGAACAAATCAAAACCTGCGGCCTGGCTGATAGATTTTGCTCCACGGACCCCGAATCCGAATGCGGATTCTCGAGCTGGCTGTTTAAGCTGGATTGCTTGAGCGTCTCTTGCAGGCGGTGCGGGCGGTATTTGGTGACTTGGCGGAATCAGACAGGCACTGAAGAGCCAAGGCATGCGTCATGCACGTCTGGGCGGCAAGTTGCTTGAAGCTTCGGCCTTTTGGGGGAACTTTCTCACGCAGCGACAAGTTAGCGATCAAACAATCGGATGGTGTTACCGGCCATTGCCATGCGGGTTGCCCAACAGCGTTTTTTTTTTGGGGGGGGGGGGGTTGGCGGCAACAGCCAAGCAGCCGAAACATCAGGACGTGTGTTTCTTTAAGGGACCCCCCAAAATGGAAAGGGTGTCCCTTTGATGTCCCCCTAACACAACCTCAAACATGGTACCCTCCAAAAAAAAAACGAGCCACCCATTTGTAGTTGCCATGCCCAGATTGCCTGGACACCAACGGCAACGGCGCCATCTCCAAGTCCGAGCTGCAGGCGCTCAGCAGATTCCCTTCGGCCGAAGCATGGGCTTTTCTCATGTGGCCGTGAATCCAACCACTAAAATAGACTAAAATGGGTGGTGCACCTACCCCAAAATGGTACCATTGGTTTTGATCAGCCATGTGCTTGAAATCTCATCTTAAGCGGGGTTGAAATACAGCCATAGAACCTCCCTATGGGGGTTGATCGGTATGCTGCCCTTTTTCAGCGGTTTTCCAACCAATGGTCATCCCATGTATTTCGGTTAAACCTCCATGTGGGACCAAACGTCATGGTTCTTGTGCTTCACTTGAAAGTCGGAGGCTACGCTCAAAACACCTCACAGGTTGGTTCTCTCACAGGCACCTACAGTACCCTTCGGGGCGAAGCCGGCATGGCAAGGGTGCTGTTTGAGGGTACCCCGTTTCAGGTGAAGGGAAACTCGAAGAACCCACACACACACACACACACGTCCTTCATAATAGCATTTAATGCATTTATGATTGCTTTAATTTTGTTTGGGGAGGGGGGGTCCCGCGATCCGCGATCTTGACATACACAAGTGACTCTGCTGCAAGAAGCCATGCGCCGAAAAACAACGCAGGCCTACATCGGGCCATTCATCAAGGCAATGTCTCCTTCGGAAGCCGCTGCTTTGCGGCCGCTTCTGGAGAAGAAGGCCCATCGGATAGGAACCTAGAGTCTCCATGACCCTTGAAACATGGGGTCATTACCCTAAAATATGGGGTCATGGACCTACTTTTAAAGGGTCATGGAGACTCCAGGAAGGCACTTTTGATTCCAAGAATCGCTGGAGATCATAAATATGAAAGCTTGACAATGGAGTAGATCAATGCGGAGCTGTGAAGGCAATGCGTTGGCGGGGCAAATGGCTTCCATGTCCACCATTTACCTAGTCACTGCTTTAAATCAAGTTCTGAAATTTGGAGAACATGGCTGCAATTGAATCGTCATATTTTGGACGAATCCTGATTGTTCCGCAGTCCCGGGGGAAAAATCGCCAACAGGGGCCCGAGTAAACGGGTTCAAAGAAAAAAGCGAGGTTCCATGCGCGGAAACTCGATCTCTGCCAGCACCGTTGTGTCTTCTGTGCGAGGCTCGACGTCGACAGGCCGTGTTTGTTTGACCCCACCTCATGTGTCTGACAATGGCCCCGTTTGGGCCCTTGGGCCCACGTCAAAGAAGTGCGAAGTGAATGAACCCAGTTTGCACCAAAGGGCAATGTGTATCCTTAGAGCCCATAGAATTCATTTAGGTCACCCCAAAATCCAGGATCAAGTGAGCAATCAACGAGACGAATTGACTCCTCAATCATGCATATCGCTTGCTTGACTTGCATAGCCTTGCAAGATGTGATACGAACATGTTTAACGCTCCCAGATGTGGCTGGCTTCTAATGACTGCAAACCAGACACAGTGAACTGAATTCATGAACCAAGGCGAGGAGGGATTCCCATGCCCGAGACTGATATGGGTGTGTCTTGTTTCAGCCCCCAAAAATATCTGTTTTTCCTTTTGGTTTCCCCAGAAATCCACCAACAAAGCGGTCCCCGCACAAAGAAACACACATCCATGCACAGGATCTCATGATTGTTGTTGGGATATATATATATATATATACACACACATACAGTTTGGCTTATTGTGACTTAGTGGTTGAAATCCAACCACTTAACTTCTATTTTATGTTATTTTTTGGTTGCTCCCCTTCCAACGTCAAGCAAGATCTGGTTGCAAGCTCAAAGAGGTTCGCTTCGAGACCTTTAGGCGGTGGATGATATCTACTATGACATGGACATGGATCACCGCGCAGATATTTCCCCCAACGAGATGCTGGCGTGGAGCAATCGTGGCAACAACATCGTGGACAAGCTGGCGGACATCATAGACCAGGACCGGTTTTTTCCCCAACAGCTGAAAGCTTTGGGGTCTCAGCCCAGATAGGCTCTGGGGTGGTCCGGGCGGCCCTGAGGTAAGGTTCCACGAGGGTTCCACGAGGGTTCCACCAGTGTTCCACGAGGGTTTCACGAGGCTGTGCGAGGGCTGCGGGGTGGTGCGAGCACTAAAAAGAGCACCGCATGCTGTTGGGGATATCACCTGAGCTTATTTTTGTTGTGCGGTTGGCTCGAACACCTGCAGAACGAGAGAGAGAGAGAGAGAGAGAGAGAGAGAGAGAGAGAGAGAAACAGAGAGGGAGAGAGAGAGAGAGAGAGAGACAGAGAGAAAAAAGAAAAAGAAAAAAAACGAACACAAAAACACAACACACATGAAACAGTGGCAGAGACAGAGAGAGCAAGACCAGATCAAGAGATGTGTTTGGCAACTTCTTCACCTTTTAGTCCGGAGGTGCGTGTGAAAACCTTTCCCCTCGCACCCATCCCCCACCACCCCCCTTCCCACCACCCCCCTTCCCACCACCCCCCTTCCCACCACCCCCCTTCCCACCACCCCCCTTCCCACCACCCCCCCACCCACCATCCCCCCCACCCCGCACCATCCCCCCACCATCCACCCCCCCGCCCCCCACCCCCCTTCCCAGCCGAGTTCCGCAGGAAGTGTACCAGATCTGGCTCACGGAGTCCAAGAAGGCGGCCACCGCGGCCAAGTACTCGGGGTATCACAGCCCCAGGGCCGGCGCCAGGAACCCGCAAGATCCCGACGCCTTGAACTCCCCGAGCCATGGCCGAAGTCGCCAGGGCCGATTTTTTTTTGCTGTTGCTCGCGTTGTTTTCTCTTCTTTTTTTCTTTTTCCGCCCGTCACCTTTTTCCCTCTCAATCTCTCAACAACGTTCCATTTTTCCTTTCAACAGGTTCAAATTCATCATGTTCTCCCAACTTGCCATGGCCAACTTGTTTGCTTTGGTCTTTTTATCCTCCCACCCGAGATGGAAGTGTGTAAAGAAGACTTTCCTCTTGGAAAGGGGCTTTGTGCACTTCCATGTTCGTTGGGAGCGTATCGAATCATGTTTTTGTTTCTCTTCGTGACGTTCGAACCGTGTTTCCTTGGTTTTTCCGCTTGATTTCCCCCGGCGCACAAATCTCGCTCGCCTTTCCGGGGATGCGGATCGATCGTGTCTTTCAAACCAACGAGTGCCGAGGAGTCCCAACCAGTCGTACTACGGCAGCCCCACTAGCACTATGCACTCGGAGTACGGCCCCCCGCCCTCCTCCGCCAGCCCCAGCCCGTCCCCCACGGGGCCCAGTGGCTGGTTCGGCGGCTACTTCGATGGCAGTGGTGCCAGGAGCATGCGAATCTGATTTTCTGCACTTTTTCGATAGGCTGGCTTCTGTGCTTCCGAAGGCTTAACTTGTGGTGTTCAAAGGGAAATGCAAAGAAACGGCGTCCTGATTGCCCGATTGAGGGCCTCCTTGGTTGCACCTCTGAAGCTTTAAGCGCAGTGCTTCCAGCCCCATTTGGCTGAGTTCGGGCTGAACAAAAGGACTGGAAGTGTTTAGACAGACACCGCATGGCACATGGCACAGATCGGGCACACTTTCGGGGCCAATCACCAGAATGGTTCTCAGCGGGTTTGTCTTTTTTGAGGGTACCTTTAAAATAAAAACAAACAAATGCGTTGTTTAAAACGGTCTTTCCTGGGGGGGCTTTGCTGAGCCAGGAGCCCCGAAAGCCCTGCGAGCCCATCCTCAATGCCGCCTGCTCCATCCGCGCCAGCGACGCAACACGACCCCTTCGTTCCTCGGCAAGTAATAAGACGAGTGTGCGTGAATCCAAGACCCAAGAGGTGATGTGGTCCTCCCATTTGGCTCAAATAAATGTACCAAAACGGCACCTTGGCAAATGGAACCGAAGACTAAACCTGTTTAATTACCCCTAGTTCTTTGGTTTTGAGCCGCTCCCATTATTTGATTCGTGCATTTGCTCACTTTGTCGTTGGACCCAAGTGGTCAAAGCTCCGCGTTCTGCCTTTGCGGCATTCGAAGCTGTCCCATTTGGGCGTGTCTTAAAAAAACGGCGACCTCCAAAACGGTGGCGGCCTCTTTCGTTCCCTTTAAAGCCGGTCCCAAACAAAAACCCTCAAAAGCGACACGGAATCCCATGTCGCGCTTGCCTCGAAGGCTCATCCCAGACAACGGGCAGTGTGCCTGGGAAGCAATGGCGTGTCTCGAAATAGCTGTCCCTAAGCAACTTCAAGGCTCCCCTCCAAAACGACGCCACGACGCTCCATGATCCAAGCAGTCAATCTTCACCATGTGCTGTAAACAATGACAATGAGTACACTCGCCAAAGTACCACTAGTCACCAAACTCCAACGTCAGTCGGGGACTGTGAATGTGGACTCTACAACGCCGGCGAAGCATGCCCAGTCAATGCATGGTTGTTGTTGGGACAATGTTTACATTTTTGCTTATTGTGGTTTAGTGGTTGAAATCCCGCCTGAACTGCTAAAACTTGAATTTTTGCTCCCCTTCCAACGTCAACCAAGCATGTGGTTTGTCGAATAGACCTTGCCAGCCGCGGCTCATGTCCATTGGCCGGGGCCAAAGGCTTTCCATTACAGAAACATCACATTTGAAGTGAGCCTGGGGAGATGTTTCAGTCAGAAGAAACTTAAGACCTACGTTGGGAGGGTTCAAATCCCCAATTTGCGGCTTTTCACTTGCCCAGACCTCAAGCACGAAGGGTTCAAATCCTCAAAGCACCAATGAAACCATTGAGAGTCAACCTGGGTCTGTCTTTTTTTTGAGAGTACCCTTGTTGGTAGTTTTAAAGGGAAACCCAAAAGAAAAGCCACCAACCAGTTTGCAGCTGAAGACCCCGCTTTGATTTCCATAGGCCGCCGCCGCCGCCGCCGCCTGCGCCGGGCCGCGCAGCACCTGCAGGAGAGGGGCGTCCTTGGTTTTCCGGCACGGGTGCGCTTTTCGACAAGATAGCTCGGCTCCTGCTTGGTGCGGGCGTTGGTACCTTCTGTTCCTTGGGGTGGCCACCTTCGGAGGGGAACACCCCGCCAGGAGAGGTTTGCAGTTTTGCCGGGGGAGCATGTTCGCTTCCTGCCTGGTTAGGCCTGCATGCCTTCGTTGTTTGCAGAACCAAAAGTGAATGGATTTGATGCTGAACGAGCCAAGGGTTGTTCCCAAAAGAGCGCCGCGCCGCAACACAACAGGGTACAAAGCCGCAGGAGGCTTCGCGCCGCCGCAGAGTGCAACTGGTCAGCATGCGATGCCAAAGTTCATGTCTTGTTTGGAGGGCACCCTTTTTCAGGTTTAGAAGGTGAAAACAAGGTAAGCCCACCCTTTTTGAGGGTTGCTTCATTTGGCGACGAACGCAGGCCGCTTTGTCTGAGGCCCTATCCAGCTCGCCATACTACACGGGTCCATGCCAATCGTCGCCACAGTACCGAGGCCGTGCTTCGAGTGAGCAAGTGACCCAACTGCGGGCGGGCCCCATTTGTTTCATGTCCCCTGTTCAAGCACGTAGTTGTTTTATCAGTCTAAGCGGCTTCCACAGTGCCCAAACCACTTCCCCACAAGATAAATGGGATATACAACCACTACATAGCTGCGATAAAAACTCTATGCACCCTGTTTTTTGTTCGAGGGTAAATAGTGTGTTTTTTGGGGTGGCTCACATGTGCTGTTGGCCATGTGCCGCAGGTGGATACTGATGACAGGCTGGGTAGCCCGATGCATTTGCCACTAAGCCTTGAAAACCAATGTTTCTAAAAAGCACTTTCTTGCAGTCTCTCAAGAGAGTCTATTCTGCGCCTGCAACTGTGGATGTGCCATGGTTGCTTGTAGACAAGGCAAACAGAAAGGGATGAGATCGACAAAATCTATGGTGGATGGACAAAATGTACCTTTCAGTTGGCATGGATGACCAACTTGTTGTGGTGTCCCAAGCCGGCTTGCGGATGTTGAACATCCCAGGAGGATACGATGCGCCACGGAGCCTGGCATCTGCGCAGAGTCCTCTGCGGCCAAAAAATTATTTCAGCCCTTGGCTGAATCTCGTTTTGCCTGGCGAGTGGGTTTGAGAATGGGTAACATGCAGATGTTGGTCTGAGTTGGTGCTTCACTAGGTCCCCCAGTAGTGCCCTTTTACCCTTTTTCGGGGGAGGGTTCCCCTACTAAAATATAGTACAGGAAAAAGGTACAATTATTCTAACCTCTCTACTGGAGGACCTAGCAGACTTTGATTTGAGTTGGTGCTTCAAGTATTTAGCCTCAAACCCTCAAGCCTGCCTGTAACTTGCAATTGAGGGCTTTGCGGGAGATTTGTCCTTTGGCAAGCCTTCAATTTGCAGACCGGGTGGTACTGCGAGCTGGTTTTGCTGGACATTTCCAGTGCAAAGTGAGCTCGTGCCGTATTTGTTCGCCCGGCGAGTACAGTAGCTTGGGGCTGCAAGGTGCTCTGAGCATTTTGACGGTGCGCAGCAACCGAAGGTTCCAAACGCGCTGAGAAACCCCGCGCCACCAGAGCGTGGGCCGCCCAAGTTGACGAAGCGCTTGGGCGGCTTGTGCGGTATGCGGCTTTTGCTTCGGTACAAAGTGGCAAGCTCCCGATGGAAAACACAGACATACTTGCACTATCGCCAAGTGGGGCACGTGCAAAGCTCAAACACAGGAGTAGACAGTGCTCTGCACATGCAGGATACGTTGGACAAGCCTTCCCACAGCCAAGATCATTTATCCATTGATGTTAGCTGGGAAGGGTTCTGGCCAAAAGTCGATCCCACTACGGCAGTCCATGTTGATTGTGGTGGGCAGCCAGTTTGAATGATCTCACACCACAACATTGCTCCAAATGAGTCAAAAGACAAATGTCCGGCAATTAGTGCATTTTTGTTTTGGCACAATGAACAGGGGCCCATTCATCTTCCACTGGAGGGAATGATCAAGTGTGTGGACCACGGCTCAAGCTAGACCTGTCCACAATACTACCAGCGATAAATTCGCAAGGCCAGCGTGTATCCAGCTACATGTCAAACTGAATGGAGTGTAGCCAGCGACAGAAAAAGCACGTGTTGAAAGGAAACTCCAATGGCTGGACATGATTAGGCATTTGAGCTTGAATCATCAGCCTGTTTGCGCCAGTGTGTCAAGACAACCTCCACTTCTTCAGGGGTGCCCTGTGTTCGGGGGACTTCCCTGAATCAACCACCGAACAAAGTGCGACTTTCTTTCCACAACCACAACCACAGGGGTTTGGGCTGCAATGCTGCAAAGGTCAGTGCGCAATGGCAGATGACATTCTGGCCAGCCTCGGTCAGCGGCACAGCCACGCGATGCGTTGCCTTTGGAGGGTAAGCCAACTCCCAAGCCATTAAGCTTTTCTAGGGGAACACGGCCGCGCAAGCAAGCAAGCAAGCAGGCATGCACGCACGCACGCACGCACCTACCCCACACAAACAGACACACACACACACACAGACACACACACAGACACAGACACGGACTCACAAGACACACAAGACACACAAGACAGACACACAGACAAAGAGAGACACAGAGAGAGACACAGAGAGAGACACAGAGAGAAAACACTGAGAGAAAACACTGAGAGAGACACGGGGAGAGACACGGAGAGAGACACGGAGAGATACACAGAGAGAGACACAGAGAGAGACAGAGAGAGACTCAGAGAGAGAGACACGGACAGAGACACGGAGAGAGACATGGGGAGAGACACGAGACACGGACAGAGACACGGAGAGAGACACAGAGAGAGACACACACAGACACGGAAAGACAGAGAGAGACACAGCGACACACAGCGAGACACAGACACAGAGACGCAGAGACACGCAGAGACACAGAGAGACACACAGAGACACAGAGAGACACACAGAGACACACAGAGACACACAGAGACACACAGAGACACACAGAGACACAGAGACACACAGAGACACACAGAGACACATAGAGACACACAGAGACACAGAGAGACTCAGAGGCACACGGAGACACACGGAGACACACAGAGACACACAGAGACCCACAGAGACACACAGAGACACACGGAGACACACGGAGACACACCGAGACGCACGGAGACACAGACACAGACACACGCACACACACACACAAAGACACACACACACACGCGCCCCACACACACACACACACACGCACCCACGCACGCATCCACTCACGTGCATCCACGCACCCACGACGCACCCGCGCGCGGCCACGCGTCGCTGCGCGCGGGCGCGGGCGCGTGAGCGCGCGTGCAGGCGCACGTGTGTGTGTGTCTCCCCACACGCGCACACGCGCACATAGGCACACGCGCAGACACGTGCACACACGCGCGCACGCGCACGTGCTCACTCACGCGCTCGCACGCATGCACCTGACGCGCGCGAGCAGACTCGTGCACGCACGCGCGCGGGGACGCACGCACGCGCGCGCACTCACACGCACGCACGCACGCATGCGCGCGCATGCACCCGCACCCACGCACCCACGCACGCACGCACGCGCACACGCACCTACACACACACACACACAAACACAAACACAAACAAAACAAACAAACAAACAAACAAACAAACACACACACACACACACACCCACACCCACACCCACACCCACACCCACACCCACACCCACACCCACACCCACACCCACACCCACACCCACACCCACACGCACACGCACACGCACACGCACACGCACACGCACACGCACACGCACACGCACACGCACACGCCCACGCCCACGCCCACGCCCACACGCCCACACGCCCACACGCCCACACGCGCACGCGCACGCACACGCACGACGCACGACGCACGATGCACGACGCGCACGCACACGCCCGCGCACGCGCGCACGCGCACGCGCACATGCGCGCACGCGCGCACGCGCGCACGCGCGCACGCGCACACGCCCACGCCCACGCCCACGCCCACGCACACGCCCACGCTGACGCCCACGCCCACGCCCACGCCCACGCACACGCAGACGCACGCACCGGAGACGCAGACGCAGACGCACACGCACACGCACACGCACACGCACGCGCACGCAGACGCGCATCGCACGTGCACGCGCACGCGCACGCGCAGCGCACGCGCACGCGTGCGCACGCGCACGCGCAGCGCACGCGCACGCGCACACTCACTCACTCACTCACTCACTCACTCACTCACTCACTCACTCACTCACTCACTCACTCACTCACTCACTCACACACACACACACATACACTCACGTGCACACACCCCACACACACACACGCACACGCACACACACACGCACACACACACACACACACACACACACACACACACACACGCATTTTTTGATATGGGTGTATCTCTTTTAGGGCCCAGAAAGGTCTTCCGTTAAAAGCCAGGAGTACCCCACAGACCTCACCCACATGTCTCGCATGTCACCCCGAAGCCTGGGAGGCCTAGACTCGGATGAGTCGGATGTAGACTCAGTGGCCCGTGTCTCAGCAGGGCTCATGAATCAAAAGGTACCCCCTACAAATTAGCGCGGAACCCAACAACGGGGTTCTGGTGGTGTTTTGGGTTCCATGTTGATCTACAGAAGGGCAACAGGACTTTTTTTTTTCTCGAGCCCTAGCCTTGTTTTTGGTCGACCCGAAGGACAGCGAGGCCAAGACAAAACAGGTGGGTGTGCCTTCCGGCTTCCCCTGAAAACCAACCAAATGGGGGTCCCAGCAAAAAGAAACACTCAGGTCTGTTGGAAGAAGGTTTTGCCAGCAGTGGACTTAGGACTTGGCACAGCTACTGCCGGAAGAGCGAGGCAGGGGCAGTGTCCCTTCTGGTTGTTTTGGTAGAAAATGGATGGCCCTTCTTGACCTGGTTGTTTCATAATCTACCAGGGTCATCTATTTTCTCAAAAGGACACTTCCGGCCAGTGGTGTCCATTGCCTTAGCTCAGGCGCATCGCCTGTTGCAGCGAGCAGCATTGCGGAAGTGCGAGCCGTGCCGGCGCAAGCTGACGCAGTTCCAAAGCTGCACTTGGGCAATCCTGGCCCTGATCCCCTGCTGGGCGAGCTGTTGGGCGACTCGAGTGATGAGTCGAGTGATTTGGACATCGATGAGCTTCTTCTTTCGGATTCACCTAAAGCTGCTGCAAGCGCTCCGGTGCCGAAAGTTCAATTCTCGCAGGGTCCAGAATCGGACTCCGCTTCGGATGGGCCAAAGCAGCTCATTGATGATAGCGTGGCCGACCACCGTGCAGTTGGGAGGGATGCAAGCGCTGACTCCGAAATTCAACAGCCGCAGCGGGTGGTAGATATGCACGAGCGCACAGAGCAGAGTGCTCAAGATGGCTCTTCCGACGATCAATTCGCAATTGAGAGGACCCGGGCTTCAGGCACAGACAGCGTCATGCAGCAGGCTCAGCAGGTTGTAGATGTGCTCGAGCACACAGAGCAGAAAGCTCAAGATGGCTTTGCAGACAACCGACCTGCAGCTGGGCAGGCTTCAGGCACTCAACAGCCTCAGCAGGTTGTAGATGTTCACGAGCGCGCAGAGCAGAGAGCTCACGCAGGCGCAGGCTACCAATCTGCAGTTGATTCGACGCCGGCCTCGGACATGCAGCCTCAGCGGGTCACGGCGGCAGTGGAGCAGTGGGAGACGCGGCGTCCGCGGCCAACCGTCCATCAGCCTCAGGCGCGAAGTTCCAGTGCCAAGTTGCTATCGCCTGAGAAGCGCGACCCGAGATCGCGGCATGCCGAGCGGCCGTCTCCACCGGTGGCTCCTGTAAGGCCGGAATTGGAGTCGGGGGCGAGTGGAGATCCAAGGCAAAGAGAAACTTTGGCAGACTCGGTGCAAGAAGACGAGATACAGCCGGGAGTCAAGGCAGAGAGCCTGTGGCAGGAGCAAATCAGGCTGGACATCAGCTGTGAAGTGCTGAGGGCTCTCAGTTGTGTCAAGGCCAAGCCCGAGGTGTTCAATGCCGCGGAGGCAGGGACCAATCTTTTCAAGATTTGCGCTCGGTAAGTGGGGGTTTCTCTTGGCGCAAAGCACCACTCTGACATGGGTATGACTGGTTAGTAACTGCAAGGGGTAGAACAACTCCTCTGGATTCATGATGCGCATTTGAGCCACAATCAAAGCCCGGGTAGATGAAGTTCAGCAAGGGATAGTCCCAACCATAAATGGGCGCCGCCGCTTTTTTAATTCCGTACGTAGTTCTGGGCAGACTATTTTAATACCAGGTTTTGAGTATGACTCTCCTGAGCTGGGGGAGCATCAACAGAAATATGTGTGCCATCTATCTTCCCTTGGACATGACCTGCAAAATATCAGTGCGGTTGACTTACCATTTGGAGTTTTTGAACATGTCCTGCTTTTGTTAACCACCTTGTACCTTTTGGTTTCTCCCCCCCCCCCACAAACTAACAGGCAAGAAAGACCTGTCTTAAGACACAGACAAATGTTATTTTTAGCATATCCAGCTTAGCCCTTCCCCCTCCCCCAAAAAAATCCACCAAAAACACACGTTAGGGTGGTCGAGGAAGGAGTCCCCAACTCAAGAAGCATGGCTGGTCTTTCGTCCCAAGGTCAGACGAGCGAAGGTAGCCACGGATTGAATCGTCTACCCTCCTTCCATTGTTGGACAAAGGGTATCGTACGGGCCGAACCGATCACCACATAGTTCACCGTCACCCCAACACACATAGAAAAAAAATAAAACCTAGTTCTTTTCTGGTCTGCTTTGGGCTCATCTCGTCCCCCAACAAAAACACTGACTTTGTTCCGGTCTGCTTTTGGCTTGCCCCCCCCCATTTCCGTTTGTGGGCGATCGTTTTTAGTCCACCAGTAAATTGATCAACTGGAAGGGAAATCCAGTGACCCCCGGGTTCCACACCACCGATTCTGGTGGTTTGGATTTGGATTTGAACTCCAAGAGCTCTTGTAGAGGGTAACAAGGGCAGGGGCCCCTGCACCCGGCAAACCACCTAACTCCACCATGAGGGAATTGAAGCCTTGGTTCTTGTAACGTTGACCCCGGATTAATAAGCCCCGGTCTATTAATATGGGGGTGTTCTCCTCCAAAAATGTGCTACATCCAACCACTAAAACCAGGAAAAAGCACCCCCCATGTCAATGAACAGGGAGTTTATGAATCCAGGGTCAACCTTAGGCAACGTAACAAGGGAAGGGGGACTTCCAACAAGCGTACGACCATTCACCAAAACCATTCTTCCCTCATGGAGTTAGGGGTACTTCCCTCCAACAAGGGGCTCCTCCCCTCCCCTCCCCTCCCCTCCCCTCCCCTCCCTCCCCTCCCCTCCCTCCCTCCCCCCCTCCCCCCTCCCCTCCCCCTCCCCTCCCCCCTCCCCTCCCCTCCCCTCCCCTCCCCTCCCCTCCCCTCCCCTCCCTCCCCTCCCCTCCCCTCCCCCTCCCTCCCCTCCCCTCCCCTCCCCTCCCCCTCCCCTCCCCTCCCCCTCCCCTCCCCTCCCCTCCCCTCCCCTCCCTCTCCCCTCCCACAACCTCCCTAACTCCAACAAGCCACCTAACTTCAGGAGGGAAGTTGAAGCCTTGACCCCCAGTTCTTGCAGAGGGCAAGGGGCCCCTCCAACAAGCCACCGAGCTCCATGTCGAAGCCTTGGTCAGGCGGAGCTGCGGCAGCGCGTGCGGCTCCAAGAAGCCGCGCAGCGAGAAGCCGCGGAGTTGCGGGCGCAGGCGTGGATGAGATCGGGGAAGGTGGCCCCAAAACCCAGGTTTACCCGGATGTGCCTTCTGTGTGTTTCCTTTTCCGGGAAAACCTTTTGGTGAAACGGGTACACTCAAAGAAAACACACACACACACACACCCACACACCCAGTTGCAGCCCTTTTCAGGATCCCATTTCGGTTGGTAGGTGCACCAAAGCAAGAAGAAACACGTGCCAACCCCTCCGACATGGCCATGGATCAAAATCCAAATCGTCCAACCACTAAAATAGGAAGATTGGAATGGGTGGTGAATTCACCTACCAAAATGGGATCCCAAAACGGTTTTGACAACCACAGCGAAATGGCTGGGGCCCTTTCACTTTGTTGTGTGGTGTATGTTGGTGTTGTTGCTTAGGGTTGTTTCTTGGGGTGTTGGCCATTTGTGGTGGTTGTTTGGTGTATTTGTGCGTTTGTCGTTAGGTGTTGCAAAGGTTTGTTTCTGTCGCTTGTATATTTTAGTGTTTTTGATTGGGGTTTTGTGCAAAGGGTTTTCTTCAGGGTTGTGTTTAGTTTTTTTTGGACAGTGTTTGAGTGTTTGTTGTATGTTTGGTTATCAAAGCCAGCAACCAGGTTGGTTCCTCTTAATTAACCTACCACTGGACGAGGGTGACTTTGATGGTGGCAAAACAATCGGGCCAGTCTTAGGGTGCCCTTTTTGGGCGTTTTTCAAGGGAATTGTTTTTTCCTACTGTAAACCAAAAGGACTACCATCTATGTTAAATGTGTCCCCTATGTCAAGACGCCCCAAAAGTTGTTTCAGCATTTGGACCCACCAAAACCAACTTTGGTGGTTTCCCTTAAACCCTTATAGGGGGTATGTGTCAAAATAGGCGGACGCACCAAAATAGTTGGTTTCTCTTTGGTGTTCCTTTAGAACAACCGCAAAGGGTCCACTCAAAACGTTTGTTTTTGTTGTTGTTCCTTTCTGAGTGAACCCCTTTTGGGTGATGCCAAAAGGAAACCCACCATTTAAAGTTTTGGGTCTTTGCTGGTTTCTGTTGCTAGCCCCCGGTTGTGTGAGTGGCCAAGACAACCTGCTTGGTGACATAGGGATGGGAGTCAACGTTTGGTATCACAGAAAGCGTAGTGTATGTGTCAGGTAACATTGAGTTTGGTTTGGCTTTTTGGATATTTCATGTGTCCTTTTTGAGGCGACCCTCCCCCTCTTGGTGTTCCTTTAAAACCAGCCAAAAAGGGGGTACCCTCAACACAAGGCAAACCAATGAGGATTAAACCGGCAGGGGCCAGCACGTTCTTTGAATTTACACTCCCTCAGACTAACATGGAAGCTCTTTGTAAATGGAACCAAGTCTTGTATTTCGAGGTTCTGGGAGCTTCCATGGAATCGCTTCGGGGAGGGAGGCAACCATGGTGAGCCTGGTAACCCTTGATTGGTTTGAATTTGAATCCCTGGTTCTTGAGCGTACGTGGGAAACCACCGAAGAACTCCCCAAACCACCACTAGGTCCCCCAGCAGTCCCCTTTTACCCTTTTTTGGGGGACAATTCCCCTACTAAAATAGACAAAACCGAAAAACGTTGGTACCCTTATTCTAACCTCTCTACTGGAGGACCTAGAAACACATACTGTGGAGGGACAAATTCCATCGCACCACCCAAGACACCATGGTTGGAACCATAACGTTTGTTGGTATTTAATTGGGAAGCCACCCAAGAACCCCCCAAACCACCCCCTAATTCGTGGACTTGTTTTTCTGGTTCTTCAAATTCATTGGGAAACCACCCAAGAACCCCCCAGGGCAAAAGCAGCCTCATATGGCTGTCAAAACTCTGTACCGGTGAACATCAAAATAGGTGGTACATGGGTGTTCCGCCCCATGGCATAGGTTATGACAGCGCCAGGGTTCCATGTGTACCGATCAAGACCTGAGCTCCGATCTGCCAGGCGGAGGGAGCCTCCGTGGAAACGCTGCTGCATCAGCTGGGCATGGAACTGGAGCCGGGGCCACTTGCAGCGCAGTTTGGGAAGAGCCAGGTTTGCAACCAAGGGGTTTCTGGTTGGTTCTCCTTGAAACCACAATTTCATCCCCCCCAAAAAATAATAATAATGAAAACGTGTGTTTTTGAAACCACAAGGGTCCCCCCCCAAAACAAAAAACAAAAGAAGTGTTTTTTTGTTGGCGTTTGTTTGTTTTTGGTTGCTGGTGTTTTGAGGGCGCCCTTCTTGGGGTGGTTCGAAGGGGAGAAGCGAACGGACACCCGAAGCCCCCTGAAAGAAAGACAGTCCCAACAATCCAAGGGTTCGGGGTTTGGACTGGGGTAGTTTGTATCAGATCTATATTTTGTATGCTGCAGTTGTTGAATCTTACCTATCTTATCTATCTCGTCTATCATCCAAGGGTTTGTGTGAGTGTGTTCAGGGTTTGGACTAGGATAGTTTGCCCAGATGGATATCAGATGGCAGATACCAATTCCCCCTGACGTGGCACCTAGAGACATGGTGTGCTATGGCTTTTTGACGGGAAACTTGATTTTCCACCCTCCCACACGTGCTATGGTGCTGCTTTCCCTTACGCGAATAAACGGCACCTACCTCAGCTTTCATTTGGGGACTAGCGATCTATGAGACTTGTTATTCATGACATGGCAGCAGTCTGGAGCATCGCGCGCACACCCAGCGCACCAAAACCACCCCCGCAAAGCCGAGAGAGATTGCAAGCACAAAACAACTCAGGTATACACGACACACGTTTTCTTTCCCGCGTCCAGCATGCAAGTGATTGCACAGCTCACAACGCTTGTTCATGTCTGTGGATCGATGGCCAACCGAAGGGCGCGGGCTTCGCAAAAATGTGGGCGTGGCTCAAAATGAAACATCTGGGGTTACGCAGATCTTAGTCTTTGTTTCCACTTTCCAAGGTTCAATTTTGGGTGCCATTTGTTTGACCCACAGAAATATGGGCTGAATGCTTGAGATATTGAAGCCAGCCAACGTCTTGGCCTTTGCACTTTGTTTCCACTGGTTGAACACAGATGCTGTAGTTGCATGTGAGCCAGCACCAGTAGGATGCTCGGGCAAAACGTCAAAACGCCCGCCCCACGCACAATTGCGGATCCAAGTGTTGGTCTGGTTGGGTTTTCTCAAAGGTGTGCATTCTTTTTGGGCCCAAACAGGGGTGTGAACAGTTCCCTGGCTACCAGCGCCAGCGAAGCCGGTGAGCAGGTTCAAAACAATGAACTGTGGCTATCTTTCTCTTCTCTTTATATTGCTCATTCTCTATCTAATCTATCCCCACCTACCTACCTATCTATCTATCTATCTACCTACCTACCTAGCTGTCTACCTATCTATCTATCTATCTATTTATCTATCTATCTATCTATCTATCTATCCATTTATTTTATCCATTCGGCCAAATTTTATAAAATGTAATTTCAATCCAATCTAATCAATCTATCTCATCTATTCTAACCTAATCTCACTTTCTGCACATCTCGCTTTTTTTAGGGCCCACCCCCCACCCGAAGCCACATTTAGCCACATCTCCAGCCGGGAATTGTTCTGCCGGCGTCTTGGCTGCACGGCTTTTTCCTCGCGCCCCATCGACCCCTCCGCGCCCATCCGCGCCCCGCTCGAGGCGCGAGGGCGAGCTGCGCGCGCGGCTGCAGCGGGAGGCCCGGCTGCTCCACGGGCGGCTCCTCGCGGACATCGCCGCCAGGGCCAAGGCGGAGGCGAAGGCCAGGCTGGCGGAAGAGGCCGCGAGGCGCCGGGGGGAAGGGCGGGGGCCGGACGGGGGACGGGGGGGGAGGGAGAGTGCGGTGTGGCGGGTTTGTTTGGAGGTTGGAGCTCTCCCCAAAAAAGAACAGAAGAAATGAATATACATATATATATATATATAGATATATATGGTTTTCACTTTTGTTGTTTGCCTTCAAAATCATCCAACAAAAGGGGCATGTTGGAGTCTCACAAACATGGTTACCCCTTTGGTTATTTCTTTGGTTACCCCTTTGGTTTCCCCTTTGGTTGACGCATTGGTAACCCCCCACAGAAAGAAAAGCTGGTTTTACTGTGGTTTCCTTTTGAACATTAAGTCAACAAGAAGGGCACTGAGCCTCAAACAAAGACACCCGTTTGGCTGAAAAGGGCCCTTGTTTTGGGGGTGGCTCTTCTTTTTTTGAGGTGAAGGATACCTCAGCTGAAAGGTGTGATTTGGGTGCCCCCCAAAAGGGAACAAACAACGGTGTTGACATTAGTTTTTTCTTGGAAACCAGTCGAGGTGATGCTCAAATAGGAATTGGTGCCCTGACATGGCAGGGGGTTGCTTTTAGCAAGAAAAAAGAGAGCCCTCCGTTTTGAGAAACAGCTCGATGTTATGAACCAACCCCCGTTCAAGGTGCCAAGAAGAACACGGTTGGATGTGTCTTAAAACATGGGTACCCAAAAATGGTTAAGTTTTGTTTTGGCTCCCTTGAAAACCAACCAAAAAGGGGTTCCCGATAAGAAAAAAAAAGCACGCCAATCGAATGCAGCAGGGCGAGTCTGATTTTTTTTTTTTGCTCAATTTCAGCAGCATGTGACACCAGTGGTTTCGGATTTTCACGAATCCAAAGGTTCCTTTGGTTGGTTTTTCTTGTGGATGTGTTGAGAGGACCGGGAAAGCGAAACGCGAAACCGAGAGGTTCTGGGGGTGGGAGGGCAAAATCGGCATGAAGCAACTCTACGTGGGGATGTGGTTCCTTGGCATGGTATGCCTGCGCGCCCTTTTGGTGGTTCTCTCTGCAAGTGCCATGCTTGTGAAGCCAAGTGAGCCAGTGAACCGGCTGGTGAGCGAGCTACGTAGCTAGTCCGCTAAGGAGGTAGATAGCTCCGCTAGCTCATTTGCTACCTATCTACTTAGCAAGTAAATTGGCGAGTTAGCCAGTTAGCTGGTCAAATGGTTAGCTAGTTCAAGGGCAAGCCAGTTCGTCAATGAGCTGGTTGGGTTAGCTAGCTTGGTTACAGCCATTTTTTTGCTTTCCTCCCACTGTATGCATCTTCAGAGTGGGGGAACCACTACGTCAGGATCTCTGATTGCCGTGATGTTCGGCCAGTATGGCCCGGCCCTGCCATGCTTTCTCAGCAAAGGGGCGTCAGCCCACAGCCCGCCGCGTTCTGGGCACAAGGAACCGGCTGGACACCTGAATGGCCGGGCCTCACAGACCAAGGGCAAGGTGAAGCCGCAAACCGCCAATCCATCGGCCGGCAGCTGCCCTGAAGCGAGCTTCTGGTCTTTGTAGAGGGCGAATGGAAAACGACCCCGAACCCCAACCAAACCACGAATTTACTTGCGGGTGCTCAACAGGGAATGAGCCGAAAAACAAAAAAACAACGCATGCCTTCTGGTTTTCCTTAAGCGGAATTTCTGGGTTCATCACCTTCCCTGCCTATCACACCAGCAAGATCGGCTCGGAACGCCAGGCGCTCGGACGCCGAGCGCTGGCGCCGCACGGCAAAGGCCTCCCTGGAGATCCGGAAGCATCTTCACCCGGCAGTCCCCGCAGTGCGCCCCACGCGATCCGAGCCGCTGGTCGCGCGGGGAGCAAAAGGAACTTGAGGGATTTCGGGCTCGGATTGGCGTTGGTTTGTGGTGAATGTTGCAGGTTTCTGTTTTTTTTCTTCCCCCCGCAGATCTGAGATGATTTGAGGTGCGCTGCCGCATGCTGCAGTTGCCATGGTTCTCCATTTTCTCCGGATTTCGGGCTACAGATGCATGCCGATATACGTTTCGAACCATGCTTGATATGTCTGCAGCTGACACTACGCAGCGCAAAGCTTGGATTCAAAGTGCGGCATGCAACTGCCACAAGCAATCACAAGCATAAGCAGCCAGGCTAGAATGAGTCAGCTGCAGGTCAACAGCTCACATGTGAAAGCTGAAGCGACTGGTGCGCACAGGAATCAACTGATTGAATTCCAGACGGTATTTGACACACGATGTAGCCCGCTTGTTCCTCGGCCGAAGGCCATGTCGATGAGCAAGGCAGAAACGCGAAGCACATGGGCTTCTCTGATGTCTCAGTTCCTTTTGCCCTTCGCTGCTGATGTTTTAGGCCTTTGCTCGACATCTACACTTTGCGATTCCTGCCGCGCCCTTGTGAAATGGACAAAATCCACGCGGCAGCTGTGTTATGGATGAGCGCAAGCTCGACTTGAGCACCGGTGAAACCACCAATGATGATGTGATGGGCGTGGATTTTGTCCATCAGCAGCATGCCAACCTGCCAACTTGCCCAGCCAGCTTAGGTCCCAAAGTGGCGACATATCAGGCGATGGGTCAAGCCATTCGGAGTTTGACCAAAGGCAACATGTTGGTTCCAAAGGAACGAAAGGCAACAGGAATCCAAAGGACCTGACTCATTTGGCGGGGTTTGTCAATGCGTTTTTGTGATAGCGAGTTGCATGGCATTCTGTGGCCAGGCCGCTTGTCTCATACACTCGGCCGCTCTTGAGAGCGCCAGGACAGATTGCAGGCGGGGGTTCCTGCATGAGCGAATGTATCTTTCAGGCACCCTACCACAGGTGCCTTCTGTTGGTGGAAGGAAGGATGCCCTCACAAACACACCCATTTGTGGTCCTCAAGTGCGATCGGATTTTCTTCGAGGCAGATGGAGCTCTACCTCCGCGTCCGCTACTTGGACAGTGTCGAGCCATGCGCATTGCGCATGGAACGATCCGTCGAGCACTCGCCCGTGCAGTTCGAAGCCTTCAGGGCCCCGACAAGTGAGAGGAGTTTCGATGCAAATGACCAGGTGATTTGGCAAGAACTATATTTGGATCTGAGTTTGTCGCTTTTGAGGGAGCCGTTCTTTTTCGGTTTTAAAGGCAAGCCAAAAGGACAAGCCCATGTCCGATTTTTGCGCAGCCTTCCGTTTTGGACATCAAGCTGGCGGATTTCTTTCGTCTTTGAGGTCCTTATCAGCTTGAATGAATACGTCTTTCCTTGCCAGTCCGGGAAGATCCAAAAAGAATCGCCGGGTCACAGCGATTTGGTCCATGCTCCCGTGGTTCTCAGATCCGAGCCGAAAGCCTGGCTTCGCAGAGGCGCGCGTGAGCTCGCTGGTTTCTAGCGCTGAGGGAGCCCAAAGGTTCCACTTGAGCACTTGAACCCAAGGTGTAGGGTAATCAGACGGAGTCCTGAAGCGGTGTGCAAATACAACAACTGGTACACGGGGTGCCGGAGCTCTTTTCAGAGGTGTTGGCCCAGGTGCCGTGCTCACTCTGAAGCTGGTGTTTTTGTGGGTCCCTGCCCTTGCAGCGTGGACATCTGTGGTTGGAAGCCCAGAGTGTGCTTCGCCTTGAAAAGGGCGTCTATTTTTGTTGAGGCCCAGCACGTTGTTTGTTTTGTCAGTTTTGTGTTCCTTTTTTTTTCTTTCTTTTTTTTTGGGGGGGGTTGAAGGACAACTCAAGGGAACACAGAACACTTGTTGTTTCTGGTTTTGCTGGGGGGACCCTATTTCAAGACACCAAGCTCGCCAGAATCCAAACTCGAGGGTGAGTAACGGGAGTCCCAGCCGCATGCGGATATCCGTTTTGATGGCTAACCGCGTGTTCATTAGGACTGTTTGATCATGTTTTTGTTTGATTCAACAGTGTACGAGGGTGATTTGGTTTCCCTTTGCCGCCGCAAGATCTATGTTCTGTCGTTTTTGGGGTACCCGTGTTTTTTCTTGGGGGGGGAGGGAAGGGGCATCTAAACGGAAAACCGTTGCGCCATTTTGGGGGGTTCCGAATCCTAGACAAATGCATCCAAATGTAATACCACCCCCCCCCCCTTAAAAAAAGAAGAAAGAAAACAACAACAAAAACCGGATGGCGATCCCCGGTTGACCTGGTTTCAACCAGGGGAATCCTCACTCTCCCACCCTTTTCACATGGAGCCGTTCGACGTTCGGGGGACTCTTTAAAGGGTCGATGGTCTTCCAAGGCCCCCCCGGACGTCGAACGGTTCCATGTTATTCGGTGGGAAGGTATCTATTTCCAACACCCAAACTCAGTTGTTCAGTGGCACCGATTCTCTTTCTCTCTTTTTTTTGGTGGCTGCCCCACTAAAAATGGTCCAAGCCCCAAAAAGGGTTCCCTTTTTTTTCCAGGGTCACTGAACAACTGAGCAAAAGGACCCCACGAGTGGCCCACTCGATCTTCCCAGGTCTCGGGGGTGGCCTTGGATTTGCGGACACCGGAGGAGGCGAAACAAGAGGAGCAGGAGGCGAAGCGAAGCAAGCGGAAAGCGCTCCAAGTCTCTACAATGGGATTGTTATGGGGTAGCAGTCTGGATATAATCACAAAAGCAACTTGCTGGTTTTTCGGAGGGAACGAGGTTCATTCTCCAAACCCTTCCTCATTCCCTGAGCACGAGCGCGAAAATGTGTGGGGTCACGGTTCCAATATGTGGTTTTTCTCTCTTTGGAACCGGGACCCCAAAACACAAAAAACGTGGCCCCGGGTATTCGAAAAATGTCCTTCTGGTTTCCCCGCTGTAAGCTAGGGGACTCCCGAAATGGGTTTCGGGTTCAACATGTTCCCGGTTTCCCTTAGGCAACCGCCCGGTTTTTGCACTCGGCTCAGGCCAGGGCTGCGCACCGGGTTTTTGAGGGCTCAGTAGCAAGGGGTATGTGTCAAAAGGAGAACCCCGCTCAAAAAAAGAACAACTTGCAGCCCATGCCGTTTGCGCCAAAGAAGCCCTTGAGGTTAGAATGACACGCTCCAAGGAAATTCAAGAGTTTCAAGGGGGCATGAGGGGATTGCTCGGATATGAGCGGATTCGATCGCAACTCCGAGCCATTGACAGATATGGCTTCCAAGCCGCGCGCGCGGCAGGCCCAGCGACTGGAACGCTTCTTCGATGTGGACCACTTGCCAGAGGCCACCGCGCTGGAATCAGTCAATCAGAGCCATCAAGCAGCTCTCACTCAGCCACTGATGAGCTGCGTCCATATCATATTCATGGGCTTATTTCGGCCATGAAAGAATACCATTTGGTTGGAACAAGCGTTAAGGACCCGCCTGGTTCGATGTTTTCTAAAAGGGGAGAGCAACGCAATAACGACTGCGGCGATTGCCCAATTTGGAGAATCACGCGTGTTGCAGCAAGTGACGTCAAACGCCCTCATGTATCAGCGACACTGATTTGACCGAGCCAGCGAGCAGCCCCAAATATGCAGGTTTTACACGGCAGTCAGCTGGGTTGTCCGCGCGACCAGCCCAGCCCTGAGGTCGAGTATGTGGCGGAGTGGGCGGCCAAAGAGCAGGCGCTTTCGAGAGAAATTCAGACATCCAACCAGAAAGTCAGACACCCATATGTCAGACATCACGGCGCGGAGAGTCAGGACGCTTGGGATAGTCGGGATGATCGGGATGGTCAGGATGGTCGGCATGGTCGGGATGGTTGCGATGGTCGGGACGATGTGACAGGCAAGCCCAGTGTCCCAGGGTTGAGGGTGGGTTCAGGGTGGGTTCAGGGTGGGTTTAGGGTGGGTTTAGGGCTGGTGTATGCGTGTAGGTAGGTTCAGTGTGGGTGTTGGGTGGGTTTGAAGTCGATTTTGGGTGGTTCAGGGTTGGTTTAGGGTTGGTTTAGGGTTGGTTTGAGGTGGGTTAGGGTGGGTCTAGGGTTGGTTTAGGTTTGCAGTATGTGTAGGGCGGGTTTAGGGTTGGTTTAGGGCGGGTTTAGGGTTGGTTTAGGGCGGGTCTAGGGTTGGTTTAAGGTGGTTTGGGGTGGGTCTAGGGTTGGTTCAGGGTGTGGCTCAGTGCTGGTTTAGGTTGGCACGGTTGGGGCGGCCGAGACCCTTGGAGCTTGGAATGGTCGGGATGGTCGAGACGGTCGGGACGGTCGGGATGGTCGAGACAAGCAAATCCAAGCGAACCGGACACAGGTCATTTAGCAAAAACATGGACGCAGTTCCTTTAGCCACGGCTATTGATGTCACCCGACGATGTCCGACTAACGCTTCCTGTCGTCCGACTTGCCACATTTCGAAGTCTGACTCGCGTCGTCTCCGATGTCCGACTCTCTGAGCCCGATGTCCAACTACCGTCGTCCGACTTTCCGCTTAGCCGCTTTCGACGAGTTCGACGTTTTTAGTCAAAGGGAAGCCTCACATTTTTCTGAGGCAGCAGGGCCTCGGTGCCCTAAAAGTTTTTGGACGGGATTTGAGGAACGCCCTGGAAAGCCATAAAGGGGCTTTGGTCCGTCCGCAGGCCTTGGCCGGTATGGTGGACAAGCTTATGAGGCACGGTTCGGATGGCTCGATGGGAAAGCCCTCCCCCCCGGCCCCTTTCCCCATGGAAAATCAGTGTATAATATTATGTTATGTATGTATGCTCATACATAACATAACGTTACATATACATAAATACACATATATATATATACACAGCACATAACACATAATATGTATGCCCTTAAACCCCAGAGGGTAGTGGTTTGGGGGTGGTGGAAACCATCTTGGACCAAATTTGCACTTTGTAGCGTTTGGGCAGACCAGATGTCGTTTAACCCATGCTGAAGTCGGAACCAGATCGCAGGTATGATCAGCTTTCTAAAACGATCCCTGAACTCCAAGCCAGCAGAACCCGTACCAACAGCCACTGATGCGCTTGTTTGTTTGTTTGTTTGTGTGTCTGTGTGTTTTCAAGAGTACCGTTTTCAGGTTCATTTTTTATCCCGGGCTAGACGAAACCACAAAGCCCCACGGCTCAACCCCAAGGACGTCCCCTGACGCAACCGCGGAGGTCCAAGACTGTGCAGGAGGCGCTGGGGGATCGCTCCGACGGCCTCGGCCCGGCGCTCGGATCGCTGGGATCTGCTGAGTTTCAGCGGTCGCTCGGACAGCTGGCTGGGTGAAATTTCCGAATTTTCCGGTTTTGGTGGCTTTCTTTTCTGGAAAGAAGGATCCGTGGAAAGAATGACAAGTTACCACAGATTGGGAAGGGGCACCCAACGGTCAGAAATTGCACATGAAGCACCGTCAAAATTACTTCTGTTGAGTTTAGTATTCGGTGTTGCAAAAGGATGGCAAACGATAGGGGACTCTCAACAAAAACGACACCCCTGAAAAAGGATGGACACGCTGAAAAACGATACTCTCCTTGTGCCGGGCCCGACAACGGCCGGCCCTTGGTTGCGTGAGGCTCGCGATGATTGGATTTTATGTTTACTCATGAATCAATGAAGCGCCTGTTGCAAACAGGAGCCAGGTTGTACTTATGTGTATGTATCTGCATGTTATTCACATATATCTATATATATATATATATAGATATACGTACATACCTACCTTCCTTCCTTCCTTCCTTCCTTTCTTTCTTTATTTCTTTCTTTCTTTCTTTCTTTCTTTTTGTCTTGCTTTCTTTCTTTCTTTCTTTCTTTCTTTCTTTCTTTTGTTCTTTCTTTCTTTCTTTCTTTATTTCTTTCTTTCTTTCTTTCTTTCTTTCTTATACATACATACATACATACATACAGACAGACAGACAGACAGACATACAGACATACAGACATACAGACATACAGACATACAGACATACAGACATACAGACAGACAGACAGACACACAGACACACAGACACACAGACACACAGACACACAGACACACAGACACACAGACACACAGACACACAGACACACAACACAACACAACACAGCACAGCACAACACAACAAAACATAACATAACATACATACATACAGTCACATACATACATACAGACACACACACAAACAGACACACACACACACACAGACACACACACACACACAGACACACAGACAGACAAGACATGTTTACCCTCACACACACACACACTATTGTTGCTTGATCGGCACGACAAGGGTGGATCTATGTTTGTGCCCCATGTCAAACTTGGCAGTCAACTTTGGTTGGGCTTTTCTCTTCGGATCGGCGCAATTGACGGCTACGAAGCTATGACTCTGTCAGAACCGTGTTACGGTAGTGGGCTGCCCACAGTTACGGCGGTCTTACTAGCCGCGCTGGCGGTACACAAGCATTAAGCATGTATCTAGGGTCAGCTGGGTTTGGGGTGCCTGGCAAGGTAGGCCCCTTGTTGCCAGCGCACTCATTGGCAACGATTTCGTTGGTTTGTACCAAAGGAATGGTGTGCCCAGGTGTGTCAAATGCTGAGGCCGGGATTTTCTGATGAGCGCGACTGAGTCATCACGAACTTTAGCACGCTAAAGAGCCAGCGGTAGTTTCCACTTGGGTACGCAAGTGCATGGGCTGAGTCCACACTTTTGGATTCCATCAACATTTGGGCGGAAATAGTTGAACGAATCCCCAAATGGGCTGAAATAGTTGATAGAATCCATAGTTCGCTCCCCCCCAAAAAAAAGAAGACAAAAACAAAAGAGCAAAAACCAATCCATGCAGACAGGACAAAAATGAGAGTTCCACTGTTCCAAAGAAGGCCTCGCCAAGAAGTGAGTACGTGTCACCTCCTGTTGGTTTCGTTTTAAACCCACTCCCGAAAATGGGGGCCCTCCAAAAAACAACACGAGACCCCAAGTAGATCACCCTCATTTCGGACTCTCCAAGTTTCCTTCCGCAGGAGAAAGAAGAGGCCGGCGGCACAGCATGCTGAAGATGACATACTGCATGGACTTGTCATGGGCCCCTTGATATAAAACATCGGTGCGAGGATTGGGTGAGTTGAGTTCCATGGAGATAGAGAGAGAGAGAGAGAGAGAGGGAGGGAGGGAGGGAGGGAGAGAGAGAGGGAAAGCAAGACTCGCCCAGGTCATGGAATTTTCCTATGTCCTCAGACCTCTAGAGGCCCGAACTGCCTGGAGTACCAACGACTGATCCACGCAGCCACGAGCAGATATGTTGAAGTCAAGGAAGATTACGAACAGAAACTCAACGTGCTAAAAATGGCTTTCTCGGAAAAAACACTCATGTTCTTTCCCAGGGACCAATGTCACAACCAGCCCTTGCCTCAAAAACAGTGCACAGTGGAGGGTCTCTGGGTGAATTATAACGACTTCACACGGCCTCATCCCAAATTGTGGGGAACAGCCCCCGAACCACCTTATTTCAGGCTGGTGAGATATTATAATTCACCCAGATGGTCTGTCAGGAAGCAACAGTTCCGATGTCAGGCGAATCGCCTGAACAGTCTGGATGCGGAGATCTCCTCTGAGGGTCGGGAATTTATGCGTCGCTCGTCGCTCGTGGGCGAACATGTGCCACTAAAATGGCTCTCTCAACAATTTAAAGTCCAGGAACCCAGAAATGTGAGTCCCCTGTAAGGCAGGTGGTTTCCTTGTTTGTCGATGTGGCTGTGGCTCAAAGAAAAACGGTACCAAAATGGGTTGCCCTGGTAAGTGGAAACATGAGCCAAAACCTGCGTAACCCCAACTGTTAAATTGTTGAGCGACACCCAAATGGTGAAGTTGTTCCCTTGCTCATGTTGCCGTCGCCTTGTCGATGTATCCTCAACTCTGCCCAGACCGGGCGCGAGGCTATCGACCTTGGAACCCCCGCGTCGTCTTGGCGCACGCATCTGGTGGCCGGTGCCCTTCTCCATTTGAGGAGACTTTGAGCATCGGTCCTGATGTCTTGGCGCGGCAGTGGTGCATTTGGCCCCCAAGAGCATTTGTTTGGTCCAGGAAAGGGCAAACACAGAAGTGTTGAAGTGTTGATTGGGTGAGTGAGTCGTATTGAGGCTTGATGCTGGTCAGCATGAGATTTCAACACCTTCATGCTGCCAACGCGGGGCTGACTTGTTTGATTTGTCTGTTTGGCATGCGCCGAAGAAGCCGCCAGGGCCGCAACGAAACATGGGCGTGCACCAAGCTTCAAGCGGAGTCCAGTGCTTGGCTGGGCGGGCGGCTTCAGCGAGGGCTCTCAGCGAGAAGTTTCTGCAGGCTGATTGCGCGCCAAACTGGAGTGTGGCTCTTAGGTGAAGGGCTTTGTCATTGGATTGGCACGAACAATCTGCACAGGAGGCGCTGGGTGAGCCGATCTGCGACATCCAGGGACCCATGCCTCATGGAGTGCGCTACATGAGAATTTGACAAAATAGCATGCTGCTAGAATACGGGAATGACTCTGGCGAGCTTTATTGCTACGGGATTGATGAATGTGCTTTGGCTCTGGAATACATCAAATATATGTTTTTTTAATTCTATGGCTAGCTAATTTACTCCCTCCAAACGTCAGTGTCCGGTCGTTTTTTGGGCACGAGTTGCCCATGGGGGTCATGCCCCAGCTGCTCTCGTTCTTGTTACGGACTGTTTTCAGCTAGTTTATTTGACGGGTTCAACAATTGTCGCTCCGAACGTTATTTTCCGGTCGTTTTTTAGCGTATTCGTGTTATTGCACTTAGGCTAGTAGGTCGGTTGCGCCCTAGCTGCACCCCGGGTGTTGTTGTGTTTGTTGCGGGGCTGTGGCTGCCGTGCGTTGGCTAGCTTATGGATATAGAAATTGCTGTTTGGAGCCTCCGAGCGTTATTTTTTTTTTTGGGGGGGGGAGAAGTTTTTTTGTTATACGTAATATTGCGCTTGGGCTTAACATAATTAATTCTACGGACATTATTTATCTTAGATATCGCTTTAATTTTCAGGTTTGAAAAATGATAAATATAGTTGTATTATATTATATTAATTATTTTTTGAACTATATTATTTATTATATGTTTGAAACTAATTAAAATATAAAATGATTGTAAATTTATATAGTTATTGTTATTAGTTCAAAAAACATAAATAAATAAATACATAAATAAATATATATATATATTATTAAAATGAATATAAGACTAATTGGTTTTTTTTAAAGGTAGGAATTGAAATAATGAATATTGAATAAACAAGTAAACAAAAATGTATTATTGTTTTAATAATGTATATTATTTACTCTTTAAAACGAAACCGTGAAACTTGCTCGTCGCACTTGCGCGCGTTTTCCCGGACCGCTTTTCCGAAAAATCCCGGATATTTCGGAAAATTGGTCCGGGCTGCCCCTGGAAGATGTAACCGCTTCATATTTCCTACGGACCGCTTGCCCAAATCTGTCCGGGCTACCCCGGGCATATGTGCGGAAGACATAGTGGCTTCATTTATTGTAGGGACCAATTTCCCGAAATATTCCAGATATTTCGGGAAAGCGGTCCGTGAATCGCAGCCACCCACCATTTTCTCGAAATATTCCGAATATTTCGGGGACCGTTTCCCCGAAATATTCCAAATATTTCGGGAAATGCTATCGTCGAAATATCCGGAATACTTCGGAAAAATGGTCTGGAGTGCGACTATCGAAATATCCGGGATATTTCGGAAAAAATGTCCGGGCTTTGAGCGAAGCGTTGTGTCTTCCAGATAAAGAGTCGGGGCATATATCTGCTTGTCCATAGCTATTTTGGCTGAAATCTGGATGTTGATCGCCTTTCACTGACTCTTTAGCGTGACCTTATCGCGACCAGCCCGGCCCTCAGTGCATCTCGCGACCTGTGTTTGGAGAACGGCATGCTTTTCGCGTGCGAAGAGTAAAAATGTGTATGTGCCTGAGTTGCAAAAAATGTCCTGCCGGCGCGGGCTCTACGAGATTTGGTCTGTTCTTGGCGCACCCACCACGGCGACGGGCTACACGACGGCACGGGGGGGCGACAATACAGTTCATGACAGGATGTGACATGTTGGGGCTTACACGACGGGATGGTTATATGGCCCATTGGGCCACATAAACACCCGTGCGTGGCACGCCATTGCGAGACCTGTGACGGCCACGCAAGACGAGTCCACGACAGATCAAGTGACTGGACTGCGACAGGCCACGCATCAATGAGGGGACAGCCGTCACCAACACGGGCCAAAGAATTGGAGGAGGGACGTGCCACGGGCCATGTGCGATGGGGGACAATGACGCCTGCGACGGGCTACACGACGGGACGGGCGGGGCGACAACACAGTTCATAACAGGATATGACATGTTGGGGCTTACACGACAGGATGGGCCATATAAACACCCATGGGTCACACAACGGCGCCCGCCACGAAGCCACTGACGGGCCACACAAGAGTCCACGACGTCACAAACATGGGCCAAAGATTTGGAGGAGGGTGGGGGACTACGACGGGCCAATGACGGGGCCATGACGGGACTTGCGACGGGCTACACGACGAGACGGGGGGGGCGACAAAACAGTTAATGATAGGATGTGACATGTTGAGGCTTATACGACGGGATGGGCCATAAAAAACACCCGTGGGTTACACGACGCGACGAAGACATTGCGAGACCTGTGACGGGCCACACAAGACGAGTCCGCGACGGATGAACTGACTGGACTACGACAGGCCGCGCATCCATGAGGGGACAGCCGCCACCAACATGGGCCAAAGAACTGGAGTGCCACGGACGGGCCATGTGGGGACCACGACGGGCCAATGACGGGGCCACGACGGGACCTGCGACGGGCTACACGACGGGACGGGGGGGCGACAACACAGTTCATGATCAACAAAATGTGATATGTTGGGGCTTACACGAAGGGTGGGCCATATAAACACCCGTGGGTTACACGACGGCACCCGCGACGAAGCCATTGCGAGACCTGTAACGGGCTACGCAAGACGAGTCCACGACAGATCGAGTGACTGGACTGCGACAGGCCACGCATCCATGAGGGGACAGCCGTCACCAACACGGGCCAAATAATTGGAGGAGGGATATTATGTGGGGGACCACGACGGACCAATGAGGGGGCCACGACGGGACGGGGGGGCGAGAATACAATTTATGATAGGATGTGACATGTTGGGGCTTGGGTTACACGACGGCACCCACGCCGAAGCCATTGTGAGATTTATGACGGGCCACACAAGACGAATCCACGACGGCTTAAATGACTGGGCTACGACAGGCCACGCATCCATGAGAGGACAGCCGTCACCAACATGGCCAAAGAATTGGAGGAGACGTGTTACGGGCTATTTGGGGGACCACGACGGGCCAATGACGGGGCTACGATGGACTACACGATGGGATGGGGGGGGGGGGCTACAACACAGTGCATGATAGGATGGGCCATATAAACACCCGTGGGTTACACGACGGCGCCCGCGACGAAGCTATTCCGAGAGCTGTGAGGGGACAGCCGTCTCCAATAGGGGCCAAAGAGTTGGAGGAGGGACGTGCCACGGGCAATGTATGGGGGACTATGACGGGGCCGCGACGGAACCTGCGACGGGCTACGCGACGGAACGCGAGGGGCGACAATACAGTTCATGACAGGATATGATATGTTGGGGTTTATACGACGGGATGGACTATATAAACCTCCGTGATTTTATACGACCGGCACCCGCGACGAAGCTATTACGAGACTTGTCCACATAAGACGAGTCCACGACGGCTCAAATGATTGGATCACGATGGAGAAGGGCCCAGAGCTTCCAAAAGTAGTTAAATAATTTAACAATATCTAATTAAGCTAACAATGCTTAAAGTGAATGCTTAATTAAGCGTTTTTCCTTTAATTAAACATTGTTTTTTGTTTTTTGAAGCAAAAATGCTTTAGGAAGCATTGTTTTGTGCTTAATTAAGCATTGTAGTTTTTATTTAAGCATTGTTCGCTTAATTAAGCATTGTTGTTTTTGCAAAAAACAATGCTTAAATAGAGAGCTTGATTTTCTATGGTTCATGGATTTCACAGACATGTCTCGAATTTTACTCCAAGATTGATTGATATATTTTTGCTTGAACGCTGATCTTTGTTTTGCTGAACGTCAAAGGGTTTTTTAACTTGGGGACGATGGACGTGTTGTTTTTTTCCGCAGATTGTTGTTGTTTCTTTTTTTCAAGCATGGTTTTTGAGTATGTGCAGCGGCGTGCACGTGCCTGCGTAAAGGCAGCAGACGCAGTTGGACCGAGCCCTTGCATGGCTGCAAACATGCCGCCTCCTCGAGCCAGAAACACGGCTAGTGCCAAAGACTTGGTGAAGTGCTTCAGATCTCACTTCAAAGACCTGGACCCGGCAGCTTTCAGAAAGGATGTGGAGGAGGTTATAGCACAGTATGAGGGCTTGCTGGCAGACATCATGGATGAGACAGTTCGGCCTTCAGAGTCTGTGCTGAGGGACGGCTTGGTCAGATCTTATGACGTCAGTGGCAAGGATGCTCGCGCAGTGGCAAGGGACATATCTGCTTGCTTCAAGCATTTGAGGAGCAAGCTGCAGTCCAGCAGTTCCGGGAAGAAGCTCACGCCCAGTGTGTGGAGGCTTGTGTCGAAGCTCAAGCAGCTTACAGGGCAAGGCACTCCGCAGAAAGCCATGGAGCCCATGAAAGAACGCGAGCCCGTCGAGACACCTGGCGCAGCACAGGCTCTTCCTGCAGGTGACCCTGCACCCTATAAGCCAAGCAGAAGATACCGTTTCAAAAGGAAGGCTACAGCTTCGTGCGATGTTTTCAGCATGTATGGTCTTCCAGCCACTGCCAGTAATGCATCAGTTGACGATGAGGCAGCTGCAGAGGCCTCTGACGTGGGAGAGGCAGACCAGGTGGACTCAGATTCAGATGTTTTGGTTGTGAAAGACTCGGAGGAAGAGGATCTCCAGGCAGCTGCTGCAATCCCTTTGGCAAAAGCGTACTTTGACCCCAGCTAGGGCTGCTATGTCAAAGCCTTGGAAGGAGGCAAGTGCATTCATGGCGAGTTGAAGGAAGGAGCTGGGTTTTGCATGGTTTACTTCCCAGACGAAGAGCCATTTGAGAGCCAAGTCCCGAATCTCTGGCTGTCGAGTCGCAAAAGCACGCCGGCTTTCAAGTTCTCCAAGCGCGGCAAGGCCGCCTTCGGAAAGGCCAAGAAGAAGGCGAAGCGAGCCGCAGAGCCTGCTGGAAAGGAGGCAGAGGCTACTGTGGGATCCAGCGAGTCCGGCGAGAGCAACCAGGAGTTGCTAGCAGCCGCGCCTCTGGAGCTGGAGTCTTGGAACGGGTACCCTCTAGCTGGCATGCCGCAGGAGGCGCTGCCGCCTCCCGGATGCTCAGGCCTGCACTCCTACACCGTGAAGGCTCTGATCCTTGGCACTAGTGTGAGTATAGATGTTCTCATGCGAGGCAAGGCCTTTTATATAAAAAGACCAGAAATCTGCAAGGGGCAGCACCGCTGGTCGAAGCACAGCAGCATCACGGAGTGCTGGGTTCAGTGCCTTGAAAAAATCAAGGACACGCTAAGGGACGAGAAGGACGCTGTGCCAAATTTGGAGTGAACATATTGCATTTGAACAAACAAACTGGATCGCTTAAAAAGGCCTGCCCCCGCAGACCATGCCGTTTTTGGATTTGCATGACGTTTTGAGCAGCATGAATTGTTTGCAAGATTTTTTGGGGTTTGTTGAGTTGCATGACCTTGTGTGTTTGTGCGTTGCATGAGCGTTTGGACCGCAGCCATTTTTATGTGCGCACCCTTTCAGGACTTTGCTGGCAAGCATGCATGTATATGCAGTTGTTGATGTCACTTGTGCCTTGTGCATGGTGCAGGCCTCCTTGGCAGGAGGGTATAGCTTGATCTCTTTTGTGCAGGCCGCGCCGCGTCGAAGGTTGCCAGATCTTCTTGTGCATGGCCAGGACTGATCCTTCAGGAAGTTTCTTTGTGAAGGCCATCCTCCTTGGCAGGAGGAATTCAATGTTGAAGTGCAGTTGCCGCGCATGCATGCGTGCCCTGACTTAGTCTGCAGGTGATGATGCCAGCATCTGCCGGCCCAAAGTCTCCTTGGAGGAGACAGGGTTGCGCACGAGCTCTTTGTTCATTGCTTTGTTCTGAGATGCTTTGGCCATGTTGCTTGCATGACAAATGTGCGCTTGTTGGCAGATATGTTTGAGCTCAAGTGGCTATGATGACAGGCATGTCAGCACATGATTGCATGATATGGTCACAGTCAGGCAGCTTGCATAATCATGGCTGGCAGTAGCAAGAGCGGCTATGGCAAAGAGTGGAGCAAAGAGTGGAAAGGCCCGATCCGGGCTTGGAAGGGGTCTGATTGGGGCAACGAGGCCTTGCTAGACCTCAGGTTTTGCAAGGCTTGCAAGACGAAATCGTATCTCAGAGGATCGCTATGCGCGAATTTGTTGTGCAGCCAGTACTACATGCACCAACAGCCATCCTTGGCAATGTGGAAGAAAGGAGTGAGTGAAGAATGTTGGTCGCCGCAGTCCTGGCGTCAGAGCGGATTCAGTGATGCGGTTTACCAGAGGCACCTCACAGAGGAGTGGGCCCAGATGGAGGAGGAAGACCACGAAGATTCGGACGAGATGGAAAAAGTCGTCATCGAAGAGGTGGCCAGCAGTGAGGAAGAGACCGCTGCTTGGAAGAAGCAGCAAGAGGTGCCTGCGGAGGAAGATGATGCGGCCCGGGCAGGGTACCAGTGGGCAGTGAAGGAAAAAAAGGCAGCCGAGCTTTTGAGCGCCAGCATTAAGATGGAGAAAAGTGCCGATGTCCCTTTGGAGACAAAATCCTACTATGCGAAGTGGGCTTTGCAGGAGGCCCAAGGAAGGGACGAAGCTCAGGAGAAAGCAAAAATGCTTGGGAAATCCGCAGAGGATTTCAAAGAGCTGGCAACTCTGCACCCTTGGCGTGCTGGTGGAAAGGAGCGCCAGCAAGAAAAAAAGAATGAGAATGAGAAGAATGAGAATGAGAAGAATGAGAATGAAAAGAATGAGAAGGAAAAGAATGAGAATGAAAAGAATGAGAAGAATGAGCAGCCGGCGGTGGTGGCCACTCAGCAGGATGCGTTTGAAAGCTGGCAAAGATCCTACTGGGGGACAGGTGCTTGGGCGCGCGACCACGGCTGGGAGGAAGAGCCCGCGAAGGGTAAAAAAAATAAGGGACGGAAGCGAAAAGCTTGGTTGGAGGCTCAGATCGATTCTTTGAAGGTGAATGGAAGGTGGGTTGGGCCTGGCCATCCCAGCGCAGTGGCAAAGGCCATCCGGCTGGCCAAGGACTGCCTTGAGAGATCACATTGATTTGCCATGTTTTTTTTGGGAGTGTCCTTTTTTGTGTGTGAATCTACCCTGCAGGAAGGCGATACTTTCAAGAAGCCCGAGAAGCCCGCAGCAGATCCGTCGGAGAACAAGGCCAGCTTTATTTTTTTTACGGTTTTGATACTTGTGCAAGATGCTTGTCCTGACCAGGCAGATGCTTGAGTGGCCAGATCAGATCACGATACCGTGGAATCTTCGAGCGTGATGGGAAAATGCATGCCAGATGTGCTCAAACTTGTTTGCCTGGTCAAGTTGCCATGGTTCTTGCATCTTGCCAAACATGTCTGGGGTGTAGGAGCGTGCTTGGACAGCTGCTGCCTCAGACAAAAGGCCTCCCTGGTGGGAGGATTTGTTTTTTGAGAAGGACTACCTCCTTGGCAGGAGGCTTAATTGGTATGGTCTTAGATTGACTTGCGATCAAAGATGCATTTGTTTGTCTTTTTGGCATGTCTGCATCTTTGATTCACATTGCAAGGTGCTAGGAATTCCTTTAACTCAGATGTTATCCTTGTGGACTTCGCCATGCAGCCAGGGCCTCAGAATATCAGACTTGTAGCCACTGTTCAAGTATGTTGCTGGTTGTAAGCGCCTTGCAGTGCTGGTAGACTGTGGTTTGACTTGACTTGGTCTGTGTGCATGGCCATGGCAAGCCTCCTGAGAAGGAGGCATCCTCCTTGGAAGGAGGCTGGCTGCACCTTCACTAATAGACATTGGGGCTGTGTGCCCATTGATGGTTTTCAGCTTGCAGTCAAGTGTGTGCATTGTTGTTTGGTGTGACTTGCCAAGTTTCTTCGGTCTTGCAGCTTCACTGATTTGATATTGATCGCACCATGATCACTGCATTTGGTATTGGTTAGGAAATCAAGAACACACAGAAAATTTTTAACAATCATTTTTTAACAAATTTTTAACTGTTAAAAATTTTGATTTTAAAAGGAAACTCCATTTAAAATCAAAATTTTTAACAGTTAAAAATTTGTTAAAAAATGATTGTTAAAAATTATTGGCCGGGTGTGGGAGTAATATAATATATTTTGTGGGTGCAGGCAACCCGGGATGGGGTTGTGACTTGATATAGTTGTTTATTTTTGTTTGGTGTATACATTGCATTTTGAAGGATTACAGTAATGCTATACATTTGAAATGAATCTATCAAGTTTGAATCAGGTAGGGTTGAGTTTGCTGTTTGACACTCCCTTGTGAGGCGATGGTTTGCAGCCATTCTGGTTTGTTTTAGCCAGATCCCCACAGTTGTCAGCCATGGTATGGCCTGATGGGGATCCCGTGCTGCTAAGCTACTGGAGCAATTTGGCAGGAAGCCTTCATCAGTCAGGCTGGGAGAGCAGGACGCCTTGGTACAGATTGCCTGAGAACATTGTACCATCGCCAAGTCTCCTGAGTAGTTTGCAGCAAAGCCTGCCCAATGCTGGAGATAATTTTGGGCCAGGTAGAAACGAACTAGAAGATCTCAGAAGGATGTACGGTTTCAGAGGCTGAGCTTGGCATTGGAGTGTGCCAAAACAAAAAGGCTCGGGCGCATAGTTTGAATATCAATCCAGAGTGTTTAAGATAAAGACACGCGCGCGGCAGTGTTTCTCTAGGTGTCGAATGTTGAGAAGGCTCAAGCTTAGGTCAGGTAAGGATCATGGCTCCCAAAATGGGGAAGACTGCCAAAGCTATGGCTGCAAAGTCAGCTGCCAAAGCTTCAGCTGGCAAGAAAGTCAAAAAGGAAGTGAGAACAACGCCCAAGGCAAAGCCGAAGCGTGTCAAGGAGCCTGTTTTGGAGACTGCTGGCGATGCCTCGGCCTCAGACCAGGCTGCCAAAAAGGAAGATGGCCAGGCGCCCATGGAGCATGATGGGTCTGGGGCCCCACCAAGCCAGCTGGGCTACGCCAGAGGCACAGTGAGCGCGCTTCTCACTTCGCTAAAATACCAAGTGAAGGCAAAGAAAACCAGTGACTCCCAGAAGGATGACGCACAGAAGGTGTTGCAGGACCGCCGCATGCATGTTTGAGTTTGTAGTGGGCTTCTTGGCCAGCTACTTAACTGACAGCTTGATCTCCTTGGTAGGAGTACGAAGCGGGCACCATTGAGGAGAAGAAGTTGATTCTGGACAAATTGCAAGAATTCGGAGTGAAGAATTGCAGCTGGGTCCACAGCCTGGAGTCCCTGACATCTAACATCAAGGACGAGACTGAGTCCTTGGTCACCAACTTCTTCACCAGGTTGTTTGGCTTAGTAGTGGCTTTTGTTTTTCTCTTCTGCAGTTTCATGGCTTGCTAGCAGCATTCTGGGATTGCGCCAACGCAGCTGAGGCAAGGGATCTTCGCCATCGAGCATATTGACACAGCCGGCCTGTCAGAAAATGACAAGGATGAGATTTTGGAGGAGATCCTCTCCAAATCTGAGAAGAGCTTTGGCCACTCGAGGCAGGTGCAAGAACACTCAAAGTTCAAGCAGTTGCACAAGTACCTTTTTGTTTACACCAAGGGCAAGAAGAACACTGAGGGCACAAGGACAAGCAGCAGCATGTCAAGCACTGCTGCGGGCATGAAGGGCAAGGCAAGCCAAAAGATGGCTTTGGACTTGCTGGGCCGACCAGAGTTGGCCAGTTCTTCTGCAGCTGAGCATGGCATGTCTGCGTCTTTGTCTGAGGCCAAGTCTGAGTCAAAGAGCCTGCAAGCTGCGAGGGTTCGCCTCAGCAAGCTGTTGGAGGACTTAAAGCTCCTGACAGCCGAGATCGCTGGCCTGAAGGATAACAGCTGGGGCAAAAAGCTAGGAGAGTTGGAGAACGCTGACCAGCAGTTGTCTGGCTTTTTGTCAGAGGTGAGGACGCAGCTGGCCGTTCCCTTTCCAACCGACAAGCAGCAGGAGGTGCCAGATCTGCTTGCCCAGCTGAAGGAATTGAATGAGAAGGCAAGCATGCACGAGAAAGCAGTGAAGCTGATCTACAAAACAAGCAAGAGTTTGCTCTCCTGAGAAGATATAGTACAGGAGCCACGCCTGTGGATTTTGTTTGCAGGCTTGTCCTAGAGATGGACGAAAAAGCAGCAGATCGAGTCATTGAGATGCTTCGCGCATGTGTCTGCATGCCTCTTATATTTTCTTGGCCGGTTGGCTCAAGCTGTAGTTTGAAGTTGGCCCACAATCACTGCAGTCACAGTTTAAAATAAGATAAAGCAAAGCTAAATCTCTTAAGCGCTCGCCTCTAAAGCGCCATAACTTTCAA